TAGAGAATGATTTAGCCACTTGCCCTCATCTGGACCAAGACATAGTGACAGGGCAGAGAGGAAAAGCCTGAACTGCTGCCTGTGTTGCACCTATCCTGTGCAAAGAGGACTTCAGTTTCTAGTGTTGCCAATCTTGCACATCCCTCAAATATTAAATTAGCTCTGAGGAGGCTTAGTTAAGGCCTCTCACTAGTTTTAAACTCCAGATTTAGGTTTGAACATGTCCGATCTCTCTGATGGGCCACACCAAAAATCTCTTTATGCAAATATAAATGAAATGCTGTGGGTCCCACCCCTCACACACATGGTAGATGGACTGTCTATTTATGGCTTGTCATGTTTTGGGTAGTACTAAATCAGCTAAATAAAATATATATCCTTGATTTGTGGCTTTCTGTCTCATTATGGAAAATACCAATGAAGAAAAACTATGAAACTGAGCAGTCAAACATGTATGTGGAACCCATATTACGCCACAAAATATTTCTTAGCCTGAAGTGCTTTTCAGAAGATATTTGAAATAATGGGAGGGGGGAACCTAGCATTAAAAATAGTGAAATATTGCTAGTATACAGATCCATGATTTGACTCGTTCAGACTGACATACAGCTAAAATTTCCAAATGTTTGAATGATCTGTCCCCCGCACTGATTAATGATTATATTTGACTACCCTGAATGTACAAATTTCTAAAAACCACAAAAAAGTTTTACTGCCAGATGAGTCATTTATGATTAAGATCTGAAATTTACTAATGCTTGGCATCATTCATCTTCAACAAGCTCTTTAAACTTGACTCTGAATGTCTGCATCCTTCTGGTGCAGGTTTATTTCATCCATTCTCCCAGTCATAAAGAAAATTAATTGTCGTGGATTTTTGGTTACAATGTTCTCTTGTTTGCCCCCCTCCTCTCCTTGTGTGCAGCAATTTTAGAAATGAATGTGTGTTTACTAGGAAAATATTGGAAGCAGCAACATTACTCCCTTTGTACCTCATGTTTAAAACGGTTTTAAAAAAATTCAACTGCTGTATAGTATATATACCAAACTGTAACCCTATGACCAAATTTAGCCGTAATCTATCAAGGTAATGGGCTTTTGTGAAGTGCTTGCATTCTTCTTGTAAGAGGCCCTGTAAATCTTTCCATGTTTCCCTCGATTACTGATTCTAGGTGAACTTTTATAACCTTCCCTTGTCCAGTTGTGCTAAAAGTTGTAACCCAGATGGTTCTTTTACCTTTCTGAAACGCAGCCTGATATGACAATAATAAGTGCAATGTACGTAAATTAAATTAAATAAAAACTTATGTGGCCTAGCTTGCTAGCTCACATTTGACTTCATCTCCAACACTTACAGTTTGAATGGACCCATTTTTCAAGGTCTTTTGGGCACCACATCTTTAGGAGGGACAAACCATTCCCTACGCAGCAATTGCTTTCATAGCTGGTGAAATGATTCTTTTGTAGCATGTGTATAATTTTAGTTTTATAAAGTGCTTTAGAGTCCTTTGAAGAGAGAGACGCTAAGAAATCCAAGATATTTACTTACTTATTATTAAACTTAAATGATAATCCTACCCTATTGTAAGGGCTATTTTCTGAAAACCTTATTATCACTGAGGGCTTTCTTTCAAGGAATTCCTAACCTTTTGACAATGTCCAGTTGAGCAACAGCTGTTAAAATAAACTTCAAAAGAGTCTGTGTTTGTTTGTTTGTATATATGGATACATACACACGCATACTATAATGCAGGGCGTGAGGGAGAGTATGCTAAAGTGTGGCCTAGCTGGCACAGAGGCATAAGAGCATCCAAATGCCCCTTCGCACGTCAGTACTGGCTACCCACATCATGGGTGGCAGTATGGGAGGGGAAGAGGACTCTGTAGAGCTGCTACTTCCCCTCTTGTGCAGGTGAGCTGGAGGGGGAGAACAGAGGAGGCACAGGGTGTAGCTGCACCAGCATGCTGGGGAACATACACTGCATTGGCTCTAGACCCGGCACAGTTTATTCCCTCTTTGCTGCAGTGGCAGAACCAGGAGCCAACTAAAAGTCTGCTCCCAGTGTAACACAAAAAGATATTTCCCCTTACTCTCGACTCATGGCAAAGGCATGAATGAGCCCATGAGATTAAGTGAAAAGATCAGATGAATGTGTAAAGATTAGCTTTGGCCTCTTGATGGAATGAATGACAGATGCTGAATAAAAGTAAAACTTGTAGTTTCATTTATATCCTACACCATTTAACTTGTACCATCTCCTCTCTGATCTGTTCTGATTCCTTAACAATCCTCAAAAAACCCTTAAAATGGAGTTTGAATACTGACTATATGATAAATAGGTCTGATTCAACTCTAAATTTTTGTAGGGAGAGTTGTCTATGAAAATAGATTAGCTTCTACTTGTTCAGGAAATAATCAATAATAGGTATTAGATACAGTAGGGGGCATATTAATCTGTTATCCAAAGGCTAGACCTTTCCTTAGATCCAAGGGTATTTAGAAAAAAAAATTAATATAGGAGAGAGATTCCCCTCTGGTAGAATTTTAAAATCTGGTAGATTTTAAAAACTCTGGGGACAAATTGTCCTAAAGCTACTTCTATTTTAAGGCCACTTTACTTGGTCAACAATTAAAGTAAAATACTAAAGAAAAGCTCCTGATTGCACATAAACAAGGCTATGTTGTGCCTGTCAGTAAATGCCAGAGATGGGACATAGAGTGCACTTTCCTTCCCAATTATTTTTGCTTTGACACTGTAAAGAAAAATTTGTGCATGACAGAAAATGAAAAACCCTTCTGTTTTGTTTCCAGGGGTTGTTTTTAGTACACAATAGGCAAAGGTGGCTTCCAGAGTATTTTTCTAACTAAGTTTAAAATATTTCACTTGCTTAAGATTTAATTGCATACTGCTTGTATAAAAAAATCCATTATCTATACAAAAACAAGAATACATTTGCATTTCATCAGCTATGATTGTGGTTCCATTAGCTGCTACGTGCTGGTTCCTAGGCCATGAGTCATTGTCACATACTGGTGTGATTGTTACTTTTCTCAGCAACTGGATGGTACAAACAACCTACAGTAAGCTGCTGAACACATACTGCATCACTCTGCTATAAAACAAGTGAATCATTCTGCAAAGGAAACCTGACTTCCTACCACTTCAGGAAGATTTCCTTTAGCAAAAAGAACTTTTTGTTAAAGTCTATTGTGAATCCCCTGATATTAAATAATTAATAGTAATTACTCTAGCTGGCGTGGAACAGTTTCTGTAAAATAGGTGGCTGTTGGCTTTTAAGTAAAGCATTTTATTGATTGTGTTTTAACTAACAATTGGGATTATTTTAATTTTATTAACGTGATCTATAATTGCATGTGACACAAGCAGAAGGCATGGGTGAAATCCTGGTCCCATTGAAGTCAATGGTAAAATTCACATTAACTTCATTAGGGCCCAACTTTCACTCTGTGTCTGTGGTAGTTGCTCCTAACTTCTTCTTAGTTTTTTGGGGTGGGGGGAGGGGAATTCCATCACTGGAAATTCAATAGAAGAAAGAATCCATTTGCAGAGTATGCTGGGATTACTACACTACAATGGTGTCTGTAATATTTATAGTAATATGGTTCATTGTTTGCCTGAAAATTACTTAATTCAAGATGAAAATGAACTTACATAGCAAATGTAGTCAACTCCGTTCCAGTTAGTTTTGAGTGGGGTTGGTGTGTTGTGCAATATTTTGCAGTATGTACGTTTATATTTTAAATAGTTGTTACATTTGAGGGAAACAAGGGAAGTGTTTATAAAGATCAGTCACGTAACAATGGCTTTCTCAAGAAATGTACAGTGTTATCTGAAAATGTGTTTAGCTTGTCTTAATTATGCTGATATGGAAGAAAAAAAAAAGTTGCTGCTGCAGCAGTGAAAGGTGTTGCTTTGTGTGGTCCTGACAAGATTTCTATTAATAGCACGTGTCATTGATTGTGATGCTGAAAGCCGTGTACAACCAATGAGATAAACTGCCATTGTAGTGTGTGGGGGTCCCTTCAGACTGTCAACTCAAATGATAGAGAGGAATTGGGGAGAGTAGATAACCACCACCTTCCAGAAATATGGCCAGTAACAATCTGGAGATTGGCCTAGTAGTAGCATTTGGTGTCATTCCATTCATTGTGGTTGTCATCATTATTGTAGTTAAAAGAGATGCACTAATGCAGATGTTTAGAAGGCTAGTTAATACAACCTCTCAAACAAAAGAGGTACAAGTCACTGCTGCTGTTGGTGATGGTGATCATGATTCACAGCACCCCCATGAGGAAGACAGCACTAGTTCTGAGGAAATGGGAGAAAACCCGGATTCCCTATCAAGTACATCTTCAAGGCAGGGAAAATAGAAATAACCTATGTATTGGTACAGATATTGATACGATAAATAAGGGAACAAGTAAGGAGTTATAATCTAAGTGTATTTATATTAAAAGTATGTAAATACAAAGGTCATGTAATATGGCCCTGGTCCAGATAAGCACATAAGCATATGTTTAACTTGAAGCACATTAACTGAACCAATGGGACAGTTCTCAGGCTTAGAGTTAAGCATGTGCCTGTTTGGAGTCTTTGACATTTAACACCTTACTTTTATGGAGTTTCAATTTTATAACTTCCTTGTGCACTGAAAAGTTGTGCAGAAGGAATATTTTAAAAGAGCAAAGAAAATCAGAAAAGAACACTAGAAGTGTGAAAGATGAGAACTAGTTATTAAAATACTCAGTCACTGGAACAGATTGTGAGCCCAGGCAGAGGCAGATCATAAATGCTATCAACATGGTATTTATGTAAATTTATTTTCTTTTTTTAATCATTGTAACTTTGACCTTTTATTGTCATTTATAAAAAAAGTTAATTGGGTGTTTTGTTTGGAAAAAATGTGTGATTTCCATTATTTTATAGCCTATTGTGACAAATACATCTAGAACTCTGTATTTTTGCTCTCATTTATAGATGGATGTCTTGTAGCCTACCAACAAATCCTGCTACTGCTGCATGTGTGGCAGCACTTCTACATGATCACATGACTCTTGATATGGACGCGGTCCTGTCAGACTTTGTTCGGTCCACAGGGGCAGAACCAGGTCTGGCAAGAGACCTGCTGGAAGGTAAGCATACCCCCTAAACCTTTGGCACCTTTTCCTCACATTCAGTACTTTCATGCTGTGGTCAATAAAATGTGAAACAGTCTTTTAAAGCTTCTAGTATAGTCTGTTAAATCACTGATTCCTTAGTATCTGTGCCAACAAGCCAATGTTCCTGGCAGTTCAATCACACAAGATTGCACCAGTACAGCTGTTTTCAGCAAAGGCCTTAGAAAATCTCTTATTGTGATAGAAGCTACATTCTATATTAGTTATAATCTTACCTAAAAAGTGAGGCAAAAGGCTTTCATCTTGATTCATACTCTGTCATTTTGAGCTGCCTGCCACGCTCATTAGTCATCAAAAGAAATTCTGAGAGTATGGAAGAATGGTTCCATTAGTTACTTTAAGCTTCTAATATGGAAAACCATACTGAATTTTGAGTGTGTCATGTTCGTTAATAGTAAGAAAAATGAGGATTGGTTTTGAGTGTATCTTCTAATCTGGGCTGGTTGTAGGTGCTGCCAAGTGTGGACAGTTACAGATGTCTTGATGTTATGTATAGAAAATGCCCACATGCCAAGGGCAAATATTTTTGGTTTTCCTCGTATAGCCAAAGTTCAACGTATACTGAGCATCTATTATGTGTTTTTAAAATGTACTGGTGAATATTTCTCCTGTTCCCAATAGCAGATCAGTGTAATAGTAGCTGGGCTTGAATAGTATTTATTTTAGTGTTATGTATTCAGGGCCGGCTCCAGGCACCAGCCAAGCAAGCTCATGCTTGAGGCGGCAGATTCCAAGGGGCGGCATTCCGGCCGCCCTTTTTTTTTTTTTTTTGGTTTGCCGCTCCAGCCACCCCGCAGGTGTTTTGTGTGTGTGTGTGTGTGTGTGTGTGTGTGTGTGTGTGTGTG